CTTCACCCTGGCTCTCCCCAACCCCGGGTCGTCTTTCTCTTGAGCAAGAGCCACCCTTCTCCCTTGCTCATGCTGTTCCCTGTGGATACAGGTTTTCCCCACCTGCTCTTGTAGGACTTTGGCCACCTTGGGCGTCACCATTCCCCAACAGTCATGGGTGTCCATCGGCCGAACGCGAGGCTGGCTACCAGTGAGGTGGAGGTGGAGGGCAGAGCGCGTTTTAGCAATAGAACAAGTCCTTGCTCCGCTGCCAGCTTTTCCGCCCCCGGGGGGCTTCAGGTTTGCTGTCACTTTTTCCTCTCCCTTTTTTTCCTGAGCAGGCGAGTGCCAGGAGGTGTTCACCACCGTCAAAGGGAACTTCTCCAGCCCTCGGTACCCCAGCTTCTACCCCAACAACCTCAAGTGCCAGTGGAGCATCCAGCTGCCCCCAGGCTACCGGGTCAAGGTCTTCTTCTTGGACATGGAGCTGGAGGGCCGGAGCAGTCTGACGGGTGGCTGCGATTACGACCACCTGGCCGCCTTCGATGGCGGCACAGAGAAAGGGTCCCTGCTGGGGCGGTGGTGCGGGCGGGAGAGCCCAGCCCCCATCACCTCCCACCGCAACCAGCTGCTGCTGGTCCTCCACACCGACCGCAACACAGCCAAGAGGGGCTTCTCCGTCGCCTACGTGGGAGGTAAGGCCTCCCTTGGGTGCTCCACAATGCTTTGTTTCCATCAGGACATGCCTGGGACTGTGATTTCTGAAAGGACTGAGCAGTAAAGGTACCTGTCTGCAGGGGCGGAGCATGTGGATTTTTAGGGATGGGGTGGAGAGGATGTGGCGGGTGGGCTCCAGCTTTCGCAGGCTGCAACACGCACATGCTCCACGTTGTGTTTAGCATTCAGGAGATGACTCCCAGCCTCTCCTCCCTGCATCTCTGCCGCTGCCGTGCTCCTGCTCCTCTCTCAGGGCATGAAGGAGAGAAAACCCCCGGGGAGGTGACCAGCTCAAGCATCACAACCCCGTTCCCGGCTCCCCGGGATGCTCCTGCCCCACTGGCTGAGCAGGCAGATCAAACTGCGCCTCTCCTGGGGTCACCCCCCACCGCCGCTGTGCCCCGTGTCCCAGCCAGCGCGTCCGCAGCGGGTGGGAGGAGCGGAGTGCAGCCCCTCTCCTGCGTTGGCCAACCTTTGCACCGCAGAAGCCGGTGCGTTTATGGCGTTCCTTGTATTTTGGGGTAGTTACATCTGAGCTGACCTGCGTGTCGGGGATGATTCAGACAGGGGCAGCCTGGGTTTATGAGCTTTACTCCCTCAGCAGCAAAATCCTTCTTCATTTCCAGCGCAGCAGAAGGGACGGGGGGTATGTGGCTATAGGAGTAAGAGATGGGATGGGTTTTTTTTCCCAGAAGTGGGTTGGGGTTTTTTTCCCGAGCCTGGGCAGCTTCTGGAGGGAGAGAGGTTGTACTGGCCATCGAGTAGGGCTTTAGTGTGCACAGCAGGTCTGTCCCTGTCCTTGTCCTGCTCATTCCTTACTGTTCCACAGCAGTGTGCCGGGAGAGAAACCGCGGCCTCGCTGTGCCTGGTCATGGAGAAACCCTATTCCTGATGGAAGAGTTGGCAGCAGACAGACAAGCTAGCTGCAGGGCGGGGGGAAGCCCTGCCACGGGGAAGGACGTGGCTTCTCCCAGCTGCCCGAGGCTCCGCGTGCCCCGGTACACGTTGCCGGATGCGTGCGGGAGACGACGCAAGCTTGGACGTGGAGCGGAGCCTCCCTCTGTGAGGCTGAGGCTGCCTGCTGCGCTGCTGGCTTCCTCGGGGGCTGCTTTTTTTTGAGAAAAAAGGTGAATGACCTTGTCTGTCTGTGGTGCTTTCCTTCCGGGCCCACGAAAGGGCGTGACTTGGGTCAGGCCTGTGTGATTTGTGGCTGTTGGAACAACAGCCTTCACGCCAGGGGAGAGGATCCATTTTCTCCTCCTCCTCTTGACCTAATGCACTTTAGTTATTTGGTAAATCTTCTAATGGTTTTATAATGGACTAAGCGGAGCAAAGCGACACTATTTTTTCATATTGATTCTATTGCGTTTTACCAGTTTCGTAAGGCCAAGATTCAGAGGGAGCGGGAATAATTCAATAATTCATACTGCCCAAGTGGTTGGTTCAAGCTGAGTGAGGATTAACTTTAAAGAGGGGCGCGTTTTTCTCCCTGCTTCTTTCCCTGCGTGGATGCTCTCTGTACCTGAGGGGCAGATACGGTGCTGGAGTGATGGAGAGGGTCTGGGTTCCCCATTGCCTCGTGCTTCTTCTCAGCATCACGGGCAGCCCAGCAGCAGCTACTTCCGTCATCCAGCCCTTCACCAGCTCTGCTATCAAAAATAACATTCTGGGGGTGGTGGAGGGCTGCTGATGCTTAGGACAGGACCTGGGCTGGGCTGTTCCCCAGGAGGATGCCGAGGGACCGGGGAACCGGCTCACCCTTCCCTGGGGCCGTGTGGCAACCATCACTCCAGGGCAGACAGGTTTGGGGTCACCAAGATGCCTCTCCTCCTTTTTTGTCACTCTAAGAGTCTCTCTCGCAGGGGTGTTGGGGTGCGTAGGGCAGCTCTGTGCCCATGGCAAGCCATCAGCAAAGCTCTCACAGGCTCATCCTGGGCAGCAACTCAAACATTCCGCTGGCTTTGCAATGATGGAGAGCAGCTGCTCTCCCAGGGTAAATTCTTCCTTGCCTGTGGCATGACATCATGCTGGTGTCGCCTGTACTGGCACTTGGGTGTCACTCGGAGAGCTGGGAAGGAGGACGAGGCTCGAGAGGGTTGGTGGTGGTGTCAGAAAGCAAGGCAGTGCCTGGGGGCCAACCATGTCTGACCTTGTCACTGGGCAGGGCTAAAATATCGATGTAGAAAATAAGGCTTTCTGCATTTTGGGTGTAGCTCCTTTTCCCCTGAAAACTCATCGTGTGGGTCCTGCGGCAGCACGGCCGGGTACTGCGAGACGCACGGCAAAGTCGTGAGGCTGATGTCCCCGCTCGTCCTGGTGCTGTCGGTCGCCTGCTTCGTGTGTGACGGGGGTGGCGAGCTGGGAAAACCGCTGTGGCTCTGCACGGAGCTCCCACAGCCACTGCCACCTGGGCAAGTCCCCTCCCGACAGCGCGTCACCTTGTCTTCTGTCCCGACAGTTGTGCCCATGAATGTCAGCTGCACCCGGACAGACTTCCACATCCAGATCCCTGTGCAGTCCCTGGCCCAGCTGGAGAGGAATAGGATTTATTTGGGGACCCCCTCCTGTGCAGCCCAAGTAGTTGGCAGGAACTTTAAAATACACACCAGGTTCGACACCTGCGGTACCGAATCCCAGGTAAGCAGTCAGCAAACTTTCCTGCAAAGCAAGCTGAGCAGATGGTTAACCCTGTGCTGGTTGTACTGGCTGCAGAGAGGAGTTCCCAGCCCCTCTTCCCAGTAGACGCTGGTCTGATTTGTGGCCAGCTGCCCTCCAAACCGCGGTGAAAAGGAGGTGCACAGAGCCCTGACGAGCCATGACCCTTGTCTTGCAGAAGCGCAACCACACGTCCGTCATTGTCAGCACCCTCTACATCGATTTCTCCGCGGGCGACCAGGAGGACGTCCACCAGTACGAGGTGCAGTGTGAGCCGAGGAGGAAGGAAGCCTCGGTGACCCTCATCGCTGGCCCGGACCCAGCCAGGCTCAGCCAAGCAGAAAACCTGGTGGATGCCCAGGAGAGGGAGGGCAGAGCAACGGATACCCATGAAGTCAGGACCCAGGACACCAGCGACATCGTCTTCATCAGCATCTGCATCCTGGCCGGGCTCCTCATGGTCATCGCCGTGGTGGGACTCGTGCTTCTGTAGGACGCTGCTCCCCGAACCTGAAATGCCAGCCCTGCTTGGGGTGGGAACACCCCAAAAACTCACCCCCACCCCAGGCTGAGCGCTAACACAGCTGCTCAAATGGCGACACAGGTCTCAGGCCCCAAAACAGAGCCTGAACCCAACCTCCAGCACCTGAAAAATCTGGGCAATAGGCAGCCGTTTCCCTTCCCAATTTGTTTTCCTCTGTCTCAATCTGTCCATTTGGCTCAGGAATGCAATTCTTGTGCTTCCGAACTCTTCCCGCACCTGCTGCAATTTGTTTTCCCTCTGGTGCTGCTGCTTTCGGGGAAGTAACATCGTTTGCCCATGGCTGCAAATCTTTCCGTCGACTATTCCCAGCTGAATTCTTGGAGGTACGAACCATCCCCGAATACAGAGATACGCCCAACAAATACTTCCCACGCTCCTGCCCATGCTCGGGGGGTACTGTAGAGCTGCGTTATAGGTATCTCCACCTGGCAAGCACAGACGTAGCCGAGGTGGATGCTTCCAGGTGGCGTTTTGGGATGTCTGCGGGCGATGTGAGGAGGTGCATTCGCCAGGTGCCCCGGAGCTCCTTGTTTGATCTTCGCATGTCGTCTAACCCGCCCGTCGCTCACAGGACTCACCTGAGCCCTTCAGCCACCAGCAGCCGGAGGGAAGGAGAACGGTCTCTCTTCTCTGTGTTTTCCTCCTTTCCAGCATGCCCAGGTGTCCCTGCTGTGAGCTTCCGTACCAGCATCACTCCTGGAGTCTGAAACCATGGACACGGAGGTTTCAGTGGCCCTTTAAAGCTGGCCTCAGCAGGAGGGGCTGGCTCTCCTGGGACTAACACCTTTGTTGCTGTGACACCAGACCTGCACCCCTGGCCCTCGCAGGTGAGCACAAAAATAGGAGTCCTGCGGTCACCTGCACCTCCAGAAAACTTGTGTTCCTCCCCAAAAGCCCTGATGCGACTGCTGGCTGGGCACATAACCCCCGCCCACCTCTTGTGCTGTGCCGACACAAAGGAAATTCCCTTTCGGCATTGTGCAGGGATGGCTGTCACAGAGCAGCCTGTGCGTGTCCTGGCGTGGGTCACAGCCAGCGTACGGCGAAGCCGACGCGGAACCTCGCTGCAGAAGCAGGGTGAACGCAGCCCTGGGAGCCTGGCGTGGGGGCCACCCACCCCAGCCTGTGCAGGGAGAGCTCTTTAAACATCTAAATGTGGTCATTTAAGGGCAAGAAATTGAAGTTGAGTGCAGTGGGTGATCCGGAGACCCTTGTTTTGGTAGTGCTACCTCCCAGGGGGAATCCCTCCTGAGGAGGGTACCAGCTATCCTTGTGACAGCATCACCCCACGCAGCAAACCCCTCTCCTGCGGGACTTTTAGCAGGGGCCAACAGGACAGTCCTGTAGGTGAAAGGCTTTCCTGCTTCCCACTCCAGCTGGGACATGTCCCCTTCCAAGGAAGCAGCAGTAAAGGAAAAGGATAGCGATCACACGGCTTTTCCTCTGGGTTTGCGCCAGCCCACGGATGTTTAAGAGGGTGCGTGGGGAGGGAAGAGGCACAAATCCACGCGTGCCGCCTAACGAGGAGCCTTCATTATCGGAGCCCTGATTGGTGTTTGTTGGGGCAACAAATGCAAGATTCGGGAGGGAAATATTTGCCAGCACTGTTAAGCTCCGTTAAGACGCCGTTTTGGGAGTGTGTTGTGTGGATAATGGGAAAACAAGGCCAGATCCCACTGCTGCCTGCAGAGCCTTCTGCCAGCTAATTGCTAGGTAGGCACCTGCCAGCTTGAGTCGACAGTTACAAGATTTGACAACTGAAGAAATTTAAAGATATAATTAACCTTCCTGGTGGCCTGGATTTTACTGAAACAGGTGAACGCTGCAGCCCCTCGCCCCCAGGATGGGCACCTCCCTGCCCTGCCAGAGCCTCCGGCACCCTGCCGTCTGCAGGGCGAGGGGCTGGTGGTGCACTCAAGGAGTTGTGCCTGGTCCTAGGGTCCAACAGCAATATGGACTGCTGCTGAATGGGAGGGTTTCCAGCTCCAATCTGAAGCTGTCTGAGCATCCCTTGGGATGCAGGACTGGTGCTGCGGGAGCAGCTCTGCTCCTCTGAGACCGGGCAGCACCCGATGGCCTGTCCCCATCCCTGTCACACCCAGGACAAAAGCCCGCAGCCCGCTGTGACAGGGACACACGCCATGGAGGGGGCTTGGGGAGGCTCCGGCTCGTTTGTCACCGTGATAAGTGATGCAAAACGTGCAGGAGCTGCAGAGAGAGCTAATGGAAAGGGGCCAGGAGGAGAAAGGAGAGGTAACCAGGGGATGGAGCTATGCTGGCCTTGCAAATCCATTTAGTAAGAACTCTGTGTTCATCTGGTCTCCTCCATGCAACCAAAGCTGCTCCTGCACCAGGGACCGAAGCGGGGTGGCACCCGCAGCAGTTCTCCTTCAGCAAACACGTCCTCATCCCTGCGAGGGAAGACCCCAGCTGCACAGGAGGTGGGAAGACCCCCGGTGAGGGGGTGCCAAGTCCCCTGGCTGGGCACTGCCCCGGCTGGGGATGGAGCAAAGCCAGGGAGGGGGCTGGGGCAAGCCCACAGCCTGGGGAGAGGGACTGCATTTTGTGAAACAAACCCTTCTTCTCAGGAAAAAGGCGCTCGGATGAGTTGCAAACAGATCTCAGGAACCCATCACCAGGGTTTCTTCCCCTCCACCATGCCCATGGTCCTCATGCATTGGGCCTCAGTTTCCCTCCTTGGAGTTTGCCCGGCACTTCCCGAGCAGGCGGGGAAAGCAGCGAGCACAGGCAGCGCTCCCGTTACTCATCCGATTATTTATTTAGAGCTTGACGATTTGATTGCACCGGGCTGAACGCAGCCTCTCCATCTCCTGGCTTTGCTTATGGACGTGGAGCCGCGTCCCTCCGGAGCAGACAAAGGCTTTGCTGTTCTGCGGGAGGGAGAGCCGCCGTTATCTCTCTGCAAGCGCCCGCATGCAAATCCGATGAAGAACGATCCCTGAAAATTGTAGATCATAGCAAACAGGACTGGAAGAGCCCCCAGGAGATTGGTTGGTTTATTCCTCTCCCTCCCTGGGGGAATCGCTTCTACCAGAGAGAAGCTAGGCTAAAATATCCTAAAAATCCCATCCATGCTCTCTGTGTTGTCTCTATTTACTGGGAAGGTTTTCCTAATGTGTCACGCTGAGGGATGTGCTGATGGGGGATGTGCTTTTGTGCTGCTGCATTTGGCAAGTGCAACAGTGGCGGTGCCCCAAAACGGGCGCTGCTGACCATGCAAGACCCTGCTCCCCCTGCCCGGAGCCACGGGGCCAGTCCTGAGGTGCTGGGCAGGATGGAGCATCCCACTGGGGTTCCTGCCCGGAGCCATGGGGCCAGCCCTGGGGCACTGGGCAGGATGGAGCATCCCACTGGGGTTCCTGCCCGGAGCCATGGGGCCAGCCCTGGGGCACTGGGCAGGATGGAGCATCCCACTGGGGTTCCCAACAAGAACATGGTGTCATGATCCACAACAGGAGGGCCTGGCGACCTTGGAAAATCCCACCTGCACCTGGAGCAAGCCCATTCAGGTGCAGGTGGTCACGCGGTGATGGCCATGAGGAGCGAGGCAGGGCACCACGGGGCTGCGAAGGAGTGTGATGCAGTAGGGTACCAGCTTGCCTGGATGTCGTTGCCCTCCAGTCCCCTGGAGCTGCCTGGCGAGAGGGAGGCGAGAAGCTGGCGAGAGGCCGAGCAGCACTGGGTGAGCTCTGGGGATCACTCGGGACTGGGTGACTCCTTGGTGACTACGCTGGAGCCCCCCCAGGCTCCACACTGGGTCTTGGGGCTCTCCGGTTGCTTGTGCACGGCTGCCTGGCTGCATATGCCCTGGGGCTGCTGGGGTGGGGAGAGGGAGGGGGCTGTGATTGAGGAGCGGGGGCTCGGCTTTTCACCCCAGCTCAGCACAACAGGCCTGGCCCTGGATGCTGCCAGGTCAGGGCTTCCAAACCCGGCCCTGGGGGGTCACCATGCAGGAGCTGGCTGTTGGAGGTCCTTTCCAAAGCTTGGGCTGTGACAGGTCCCTCTCCTTCCAGGAATGCTTTGTAGACACCAGGTTTCCATGCTTGATAAAAAAACAAAGGATGTCCCGATGCTTTCTTAAGCAGGAGCGTTGAACGCTCTGCTCCCTTGAGACTTATTTCCGCAGTGGGGTTCTGCTGACTCAGTCTTTCTCTTAAAATGAAAATAACCCAGCCAGCGGGTTGCCTTGGTGGCTGCAGAAAAACTGCCCGAGCACCAGCTGGGTGCTCACCCTTACCCCGTGGTGGTTTATTCTGCGTAATGCTGGGTAAAGCTTTCGGCAGTGACGCCGGGGGTGGGAAGGGGAGCCGGCATCGGAGCCGGCCCCGCTGCCGTGGGGGGCCC